CTCTCTCTCTCTCTCTCTCTCTCTCTCTCTCTCTCTCTCTCTCTCTCTCTCTCTCTCTCTCTCTCTCTCTCTCTCTCTCTCTCTCTCTGTCTTTTCATTGCGCATGTGTACGGCAACCGGGCTACCGTCGAAGTAAAAGGTGAGCAGATAGGTGCGGCCACCGATGGCCGCTCTCATAGCCACCATCTCCTTCGGCGGCCCTTCCCCTCGCCGGTCTTGTACCCGCTTTCTCCTCCGGTAATGAATAGCCAGCATCTCCCCCGGCATTGAATAGCCACCATCTCATCCGGTAATAAATAGCCATCATCATCATTACCATCACCATCATCATCATCATCATCATCATCATCATCACCATCATCATCATCATCATCATCATCAGTTTGGGGATGAGGGGCAGGTGACAGGACCCCGTTTTGATGTTGATGATGATGATGATGATGATGATGATGATGATGATGATGATGATGATGATGACAGTGGTGGTGATGATGATGATGATGATGATGATGATGATGATGATGATGATGATGATGATGATGACAGTGGTGGTGATGATGATGATGATGATGAGGCGCTCGCGTTGGATCTAGAGAGGTGACACTCGAGAGCGGTTCCTTTGACGGCGTCCTACCACTGTCGTAGCTGCATTCTGCTCCGGCAGCCTACCGTCGTGATCATCATCATGATCATCATGATCATCATGATCATCATGATCATCATCATCATCATCATCACCAGTATCGGCAAGAGGGGTGGCTGCTGGCCATAGGGGATGGCAATCCAAGGTAGATTGGGATACCCGTCATCACCGAGCAAGTACCCACCAGGAACACTGGGGATCGAAGGCCTCTCTGCATTGAACGGGTCGTCGGGTAGGTCAACGAACAAGGAACCCTCAAGGGCTCGCCTGTATAGCGAGGTGTTCTTTAGAGCCCGGGCATCGCCAACAGTCCCAGGGAAGCCGTGGCAGAAGTCCAGGATCTGCAGCTCCGAATTGACAATGAGTTACGCAACGACAAAGAACATGTTGTTACCCCCAGAGCAATAGTCGTCACCGTCGGCAGATCGCGGCTTGTCGACATACACGTGAGTGCAGTCAATGCACCCCCAGCAATTGGGGAAACCCAATGCTCGAAACTGCTGCATTCGACGGTGACGCTCCTCCAGTCCACCGAAACCGACGACGTTCGAGAACGCCGCATGAATGGCTTCCGCCACCTCTCGCACGACCCGCAAGGCATCGGTTTTCCCCATACCGTACCCCGAAGAACTGTGTCAATGCCCGTCTCCATGCGCCCATCTGTGGAGAGCATATGCCAGTTTCTTAGCTGGCGACAACGACAACCTGAATTTTGTCACTTGTTTCTCCAAAAGGGGACCCACCTTACGCAGCAGCCTGTTGAAAGTGGACAGCCGCATGCGTAGAAGCCCCAAGTAATGGTCGTTCTCGGTGTCATCCTGGGCAACGAGGCCTTTTTACAACCCGGCTGCCCGCCGCATTACCCACCACCTAGGCGAGACCCGTGGCGATAGCTTGCAGATGTCATAAATCGTTGGCAACAACCAAACCAGACTACGCCGTCCCCATGTCTGGTCGTCATCGTCTTCTCCAAGAGTCGTCCCCGCCATGTCATCGTCCCGGCCCAACAACAATGGTCTGCATGTGTGGTTGTCGAGCAGTGAATCGAGATTTTTGAAGGCATCCTCGGCCATCCTGCCGGCAATGGCCATCACCGCAACAGCGAGCTCTTCCCACCGTCTCTTCCCTAGTCGCGGCATGACTGTTGCTGCAAACCAACGGAAGGCGATGGCTCAGACACCGGGTGGAGGCGCCAAAAGACTTCGAACCTGGGGGCGAAGGGTCTCAGGAACCCACCCCTAACCACCGCCCGAACCCCAAGCACTGATGGACTCAGGGTTCGTCCCAGGAACACACAGCGCAGTGTGCCACGAACCCTTTGCACTAGTACACCCAGGTGGACAGCCAGGTCCTAAGGGCGAACGACCGCAGCAGACGGGGAAGCTCAGCTCTTCCCCTCCCATTCGACACGATGGCCAATGCACCAACGAGTTGGCTCCCCACAAATGGAAAGGTTGGCGGGCACCACTTCGGCCTCACCGTTTTCACTTGAAACCGGGGTTCATAGGGCGGGGGATGTGTGGAGGTGCACTTACCCAAAATGTTTTGTAACATTCGTACATGGGAGTCGGTCGTCGGGTCACATGCATCCCATGTGCGCGGCAGTTGTGCAATAATGACGGTTGTCAGTCATTATTGCCGAGACCTTTATTTTTTTTTTTTTGGTAATCGTTTACGAAAACAAAATAACGGAGAAAACCCTCCATCGGCATTTTTTAAATCCGAAAAATGTGTCACACACCGATTTACTCTTCGCTAGTGGGACTTGGCCCCAGGCATGGCCGAGTGGCAAAAATGGAAAATGTGCCAAATCGGCGCGACGATTATTTCGTAGTGTAAATGATTTTTTGTAAATGTTCTATTATTATTTCTGGAAATAGCACGACCTCATCTATGGATTCTCGAAATTTCAGATTTTTGTGCATGTTTGTCCGAGCACAAAAAATCGTCAAAGTTGCCTCTTGCAAAACGCCTGTTTCGTTGTGCCTGACCTCCCTGTTTTGAGAAGACAGGGCTCAACGCCTTGGCTTGAGGGCCCTTTTGCAGTTCACATGCCCTCACTTCTTTTTGGGGTCCGCTTCTACCCGAGGACTGGTCCAATGCCCCCCACTTCTTTTTGGGGTCCACTTCCTCCCGAGGACCGGTCCTTCGTTTTTCCAAAAGTCCCGGTTCTAGAAGAGTTAGCTGTAGGTAGTCCGCAATTTTGGCAAGGACCGGTTTCCCAATTTTTTTTGCCCCCTAAGAACCCACTTTGCATCCTGGTCGCCCACCGCCAAAAATGAGACACCTTGACACAGACGCGGAAGCCCACTATTGACTTACCGTGAGGGCACGGGTGCGCAACCCGTAGTTCGTTTGTTTATGTGGTTCGGGAAGGGTAAGGTAATGATTATGCTGTATGTATGTTTTGTCATGTTCGCTATACACAACTCAAAGAGTGTGTGTGTGTGGGGTGCCGGTCGGTGCTTTATTCACGATGTTCATGGGACGCTGGACCTAGTTTCCAGGAGGTGGCGCTCCCCATCAATAGACAAGAGAATGTATATGTGTGTGTATGTGAGTGTGTATGTGTGTATGTGTGTGTGTGTGTGTGTGTGTGTGTGTGTGTGTGTG